GTTTCAGATCTACTTTAGCTGGAAACCCTGGTCCACTAGCTTAGCACACAAGGATCACTGCTGAGGAGTGTGGTTCACATTTACAATACACCATGGGGACTTTGCTTTATTATTATAAGAACTGCTATAAGCATCTACTATATGACAAGGTATAGTTATTTCTAATATATACAATCGTCCTTCAAATTGGGTATTAATATGTCCATTTTACAGATGAAGAAACTAAGGCTCTGAGAAGAGATTTATCCAGATCCTAAACCAGGGTGGACTTACTCTTTCACTGTAAAATGCTGTCTCTTTTCTTACTGTGTGCAGAGCCTACATGGCAGTGAGGCTGTTCATTTTAATGATTCGAAAGCAGAACATTCAAATAAATCTTGTCATTCAGAGAAGTCACTTTGAAGCCTATTCTGTCATGCCAATAGCTAATGCTCGTAACAACTGAGTCTCTGCTATAGGAACTGCCTTCAGAGTTATCTGTGAGCTGCACAATCTAATCTTATTACCTTACAAGCATGTTATATGTTTAAAAATATGGTATATGCCATTGGAAGAGTGAAGGATGTGCCATCACAAAATTTGCCAAATTGGTATGTTGATTATTTCAAATGGAAAACACTGGAGAAATTCTAGTTTCAGAAAGGAAGAGCTAATCTGTCTCTTCCTGTATGGAGCAAGAGATAAAGAATCCTCTGGGACGGATACTCTTCTAAGGCCCTGAGATTTATCCATACCAGGGTGAGTAAGTAGCCCTTTTATCACCAGAGACTCGGGAGACTTGGAGGCTACAATGAATCCAAATACACAAACTTACAAAATAATAATAACCTTTATCTTCCACTTGCTTTACACTCCCTCATATATCTCCTAGTGACTCCCCTAGAAAATTTTACTGTCCTAGCCAGATTTTCTTTCTCCTGTTGTTTCTTCTCAAATTTCTCGGTCTTTGTCTAAAAAAGTGTAAGAACATCTTACTTTGGCCACTTCTTCAGACTTCACTCTCTTGTGAAGATGCCCATGTACATGCAAAACTAGTAACATTTATATACTTTTCTCTTGTTAATCTGTCTGCTGTCAATTTGGCTTCTAGATCCAGCTGACGAGCCCACTAAGAGCTAACAGGAGCATTGGAGGTGATCTCTCGTTCCCCAATATCATGCTGTCAAGCAGCGTAATCTCCCAGGTCCCTCCTCTGTAAATTTCAATTCAGTATCGCTGGGACAGACCCAGCAGTTTGTGGTTTTGTCAAGTACATGTGACTGTAATCACCAGGAAGCTTGAGAAACACTGATGCAATGATATAAGCATGAGCTCTGGGGTCAGAAGGACTTGGGTACAGATCTGGCTCTGCCTTTTTTCTAGTTGTGCACCCCTAGGACAGGCACTAAAGCCCTGAATATCAGTTTCTTCATCTATAAAATGAATATTAGTAATTATTAATAACCTCCAAACAGGCATGTGGTGAAGACTGAATAATGTAACGTGTGAAATGCTAGCACAGTGCTTGGCACATGGTAGGCACTTAATACATGGTCATTACTATTGTTAATCACCCACTCCGCTGAATGAATCTACCCTATGTGACTTTTTGTTATTTCTAAAAATTAAATCCACAGTGAAAGGATATGAGGATACATAAAAATATGATCATAACACATTATACTTCATTAAAAAGTAAACAAATAAAGATCCTTAGGAGAAATGATAGATGACAGATAACTAGATACAGGCATTGATCGACTTACCACCTATGCAACTTACGACCATTCGACTTTACGACCACAATCGCTAGCCACAACTGCTCCGCGTCTGGCAGCGCAAACGTTGCCCAGTTGGGCGTATGACAGTGCCAACCAGCTTCTGGCAGCACTACCATCTCTGCGTGCACCGTTTCAACTGTACATATAGCCTACTCAACTTATGACCAAATCATGTTACGACCGGTCCGCGGTCCCGACCGTGGTTGTAAGTCGAGCAATAGCTGTAGATAAACTTTAGGATAAGAAAATTTTCTACAAATGAAAAACCAAACACTTAAAACACTTTAACACTCAGGAGAATAACAAGTGTCTAGAAATACACACACACACACACACACACACACACACACACACACAGATAGAAAAGGTGGAAACAACCCAAAAGTCCATCAGCAGATAAACAATAGAATATAATTCCAACATTAAAAGGAAGGAAATTTTTTTTTCTTTGAGACAGGGTATCACTTTGTCCCCAGGCTGGAGTGCAGTGGCATGATGGTAGCTCACTGCAGCCTCATTCTCCTGGGCTCGTGTCTTTTTAATTTTCTTGTAGAGATGGAGGTCTTACGATGCCATCCAGGCTGGTCTTCATCTCCCCACCTCAAGTCATCCTTCCATCTTGGCCTCCCAAAGTGTCTGGGCAAAGGAAATATTGACATATGCCACGACACGGATGAACCAGAAAACATTATGCTAAGTGAAAGAAGCCAGTCAGTAAAGGATAATACTGAGCAATTCCACTCTGTAAGGTGTCTGGAGTAGTAAAATTCATAGAGTCAGAAAGTAAATGGTGGTGGCCAGGCACTGGGAGAAAGGGGAAATAGGAGTTCTTGTTTAATGTGTACGGTGTTTCCGTTTTGCAAGTTGAAAACATTCTGGAGATGGATGGTAGTGATTGTCACACAACAATGTGAAATGTACTCACTGCCACTGAACTGTACACTTAAAAATGGTTAAGATGATAAAGATTATGTTGTATTTTTTGTCACAATTTTTTTAAAAATTTAAGAAAATCACGTTGATATCAAAATCACAGTTAAATATGAGTTTCAGAAATGTCTTGTTTGGTTTGTGTTGCTACAAAAAGCCCCATGTGAGTGACATACTTCTGAGGAAGTGTACAGAGTACGTCCTTTGGAAAAATGAGCGAGTAAATTCCCAAGTATTTTTGCATCTGCATTCTCAAAAAATGTAACTGCACTACCTTGGTTGCCTGTTTTTCTTTCAAGTTATTCATTTACAAGATCACTCAAGAAATGTTACCGAGATAAATAGGACGCTATGACTGGAAAACCTGTTCTGCCTTAACCCCGGCCTGGGGGGTGCTTTGAAAAATGCGGCTTATAGAGTACTCTAAGGAAGTACTGAGGGGCGTTATCATCCTCTCTTAAAGCATTGTGGTCTGTGCAGAGCTCTGCCCTGGGGTAGCTGGGTAAAGAGCAGGTGCATCCGAGGCTTGGCTTGTGGACTAGATGATGTGGAACCCCCATTACAACAGCCTGCACTAGAACAGCAGTGGCCGTGTGGGGAACGTCATCTGAACCCAAGCTGGTGAACGGGGCTTTGCCCTCTGTTTCATTAACCTTTAATTGATTTTCTTCAACACTAGGCTTTCTTCAGGACAAAGGCTGGGCATGGTGGCTCACGCCTGTAATTCTAGCACTTTGGGAGGCTGAGGCAGGTGGATTGCCTGAGCTCAGGAGTTCGAGACCTGCCTGAGGAGCACAGTGAAACCCCATCTCTACTAAAAATACAAAAAATTAGCTGGGTGTGGTGGCGTGCATCTATAATCCCAGCTATTCAGGAGGCTGAGACAGGAGAATTGCTTGAATGTTGCAGTGAGCCGAGATTGCCCCACTGTACTCCATACTGGGCAACAGAGCGAGACTCCGTTTCAAAACAATCAAACAAAAAAAGATTTTATTCATAGAAGGAGTATTTTTCTGATGAGTATAAGCAACATCTGAACACTTCAAATGTTCTCAAATAGAATAGCATTTGGTTCTAATTTAACTTAAAAGTAATGACAAGATGAAAACTCTATTTATATATTTAATACATTTCGTGTATTTCTTCTAGTATGCATTTTTTTAAGTAAAAAGGAAGGAAGGAAGGAAGGAAGGAAGGAAGGAAGGAAGGAAG